GAATGTTATAAATTCTAGTGTTTATGCTTCTCACGGAGATTAAAATAACTCAGTTACCGCTAATGGTTAATGAAAACTATAGCTGGTTAAAAATAGGAGTCAAATGATCACGTGGTTGAATTTGTTTTTTTTTTTGGAATAAAAGTAAATCTTACCAAGTAAAGGGAGATACTGAGATTTTGGCATGGTAACCGTGACGGACTGTAGGATCAGAGCCATTGCTAATAGCGTACAAACTCCCAAGGACACCTAGAAGAGGAAGCTTTCTTCCCGCGTTTTTTCTTCAATACAAATTCTATTCTTCAAATGGCTTTAATTTGTTGAGAAGACTTGTCCTATGAGATAAATTCTTGAAGACATTTTCCTAGCCATATTTGCACGGTTTCAATTTGGGTTGGATGTTTGTTACCTTTTCAACGCTCAGACCACTAATTTCGCTCGGCAAGAAGAGTCCGTTGAGGCAGAGGAATGTACAGACGAAGGATGGAATAATAATAGAAAACACATAGAATTGTGGATGACGGCGGAAATGGGCTGTTACAAGCAGCTAAAAATCAACTGCTGTATGGCATAAAGAAAATTTTCAGCTTGATTTACGTACTGCCCAGCACATACCATATCGTAATCGCCTTCTTCGTAAGTTGTGTCAATCATCAGCTCAGAGGTCAGAGAAAGTAATTTCCATTCAGTATTGCCCTGATTCAGGTGAAGGGTATAACAATAAATTTAGGTAGAAGATGTAAAGTAATGTCTGAATACCGTAAAATCCTGAGATGGTTCATAGTGCTCATATGGAGTATGAATTCTCATGTTGGTATTGGTGAAACTCCAAGAACTCAATGAAAAAGTGCAGGTTTGATCGTCGTAAGGGAATTTTTGAACGTTAATTTGACAAGGATGAGCCACAATCTGCAAAGCATATGAAACAAATGTAATTTAGGAAATTTCCAAAATTAAGAAAAAAATCATCCATCATGCATGTACTGAATACGAGTACTACTATAAGTTTATTACCAAAGCTTCAACCGGGACCAGTTCTCGGCCATTTCAGAATATGGATTAATTCTAACAAACCGCATTCAAGATAAGTTTGCAGCATTTGGAATTTGTCTAAATGTTGTTGCGAACCTCCTACCTGAGGCCCAGATTTCATTATTGAGCCGTCATTCTTCAAGACAACTAATCTTCTGCCATAATCGATTAGGTCCTGCTTGGATATCCTGCAATTCTGGTTGAAAATTCTAAAATCTTCAAGCTAAATGAACTATCACATACGCTGCGAATAACATTAGATCGGGTGTCCACACGCTTTGTTCAGGCACCTTGAGTGTTGTAATATCTCCCTCAGCTGCCATCCATGTTAGAAG